TAAACTGATTCATCATAAAGTCATTTTAAAAATTCTCTTTCTGAATATAAAATGAAATGTTTAATTAATTCCACATACCTCACGCAGCACATGGCCTCTGTTCTGCATGAGAACAAATACATGAATGAATCAATTGAACAGGCCCTGACATATGCCAGGCCCTAAACTAAATGCCTCACACACACATTACCTTAATTACTCTTGGCTGTGGCCTGGTGAGGGAAAACATCATACTGCAGTTTACAGCGAGGGACAGAGATTTGTCCCAAGCCACTCTGCCACTGGCCAATGAGGGCTGTGTGTGACACAGCTGCAGTTTGGTAAATACAGTTGCCAACTTCCTGACTTGCTGAGAAAGAGCTTTGTCATACATGAATCCTTAAAGAAGTCAGTTGTGATCCATGAACATCTAAGGACCCTGGATTTGCTGTGACAGCAGCCATGACAAGAAGGGGGCCAGCCGTCACCGCTGCCCAGTTTATGAACATTTTCCCATTTGCAAAGCACACTCCCGTTTACACTTCTCAACTGCAACGAGCTGCTGCACTGAGCCACCAACCGATTTTAAGCCAGAAAAAAACGGCAGAAACCATCCGGAAGGCTGCTACTCCTGTCCAGCCTCCACCGCTGCTGTCAAAGCATAATGGTCACCGGCCCGATCCTGTCGCGTTCCCTGGCTGGACAGTCACCCTATGACGCATAGCAGAGGAAACCTGGCACCCTCCTTCTCGCTCATCTTTACAAATGAACAATTTATCACACTAGCAGTGCAACTTTACATAAAAGAGCAGACTCCACCTAGGGGCCCGTGTCTGCCGCTCCCGCGCTGCTGCGGGGCCACGTGCCGCGGTCCGCATGCGCTCGGGAAGCGCGGATGCGCGCCAGCTCCACGCTTTACGGTAGGCGCGGCGCGCAGGGCAACCACGTGGCGGCGGAACCGAGGGCCGGCGGGAATGCGCGGAATGCGCTGCGCGGCCTTGCGCGGCTTCCAGCCACGGCCCCGGGTCCCTGGGCGCGCTCCCGTCTTCTCCCCTTTCCTCTGCCGCACCCGGGCCCGCTCCTCCGACCGAACAAGTGGAGCCCCGTGCTAACATCCTGCGGGGCTTGGGGGGCGAGCACGGTCGATTGGCCCCAGAACTTTGCAAGGGGTCTGGATGCGCGTCGGACCGCCAGTTCTGTGGCGTGGCCCGACAGGGGAGGGTACAGCACGTTGGGTGGGAGATCTCCTTCCCAAACCTGGAAAACGTTTCCCTTCCCGTCCCCTGGTTGGCTACGGTCCGGAGACCCAGAATTGGCAAGCTCCGCGTAGGAAAGACCCTTTTCTCCAACCTTTCCGGTGCTTTGGGAAAGGATAGAGAAGCTCTGGAACTCCAGGAAGCTAGATTGGAGGGGCGCAGGGATTCAGGGCCCTTCCCATGGCCGGTCTTCCCGAGAAGAGAAGGGGTGACCAGTCTCAAAGGTGGGGGCGCCCCCGAGCGCCCATCCCGCAGGCCCTGCGCCTTCGCTACGCGAGGGTCCGCTTTGCGTTAAAGGCGGCGATCCAGGTTGACCCCGCGAGGCCATGACTGCACTCGGTTTCTTGTCTACCTTGGTTGGCGGCAGTTTTCGCCTCCGTCTGGGTGCCCACTCCCCACCACTTGGTCTGAGCTAGGCCGGAACCCAGAGCAAGACGGATTAATTCCTAAGAGATTTGGGTTCATACAGCTCAGCGCACGGGCAATGCATTTTGAGAGATGGGGTGTGGCAGTTAGAATCTTAAATTCACCTTACAAGTTGAGCCTTTCCCCTTGGAATCCTAAATATGTCGCTGGAGCCAAGGCTTCCTACCTGTTAAGTTTGCTTTTAAAGTCGCACACTCCTCGCCCGCAGCCGGGGTGGGTGTCTCTTTACCCCGACCCTCTCTACCGAACAGCGAATTAGTCTGTGTGGTGACCCTAATTAATGCAGCTGGGGCGAGGGTTGTGGCCACCCGCGTCCCCACGCGTGGCCGTCATGTGTGGATTTCGGAGCTATAGTTAGCCCAGTTCCCCCACCCCCAGCTTTGGGACACCCAAGATCGGCGCCTAGTGGCCTGGGCAGAACTGTGGCAGCACGTGGGCCGCCATGCGCGCCCCAAAAGCACGCGGTATGGGGGAAGGGAAGCCCGAGCGCCCCCGGAACTCCGGAGCCGCTTTCGGAAGCATTTTGCAGGGCGATTTAAGGGCTTAACAATGGCAAACTCGTGAAGTCGGAGCCAAGCCCTTTCAAGTCACCGCCAGGTATGCGGCAGCAGGTGACCCCACCTGGGTGCGCCCGCCAGCCGCCCCGGTCCGCTCCGGAGGTGGAGGTGGGATGCAGAAGGTCCACACCCGCACCGGGTTGGCTCGGGGCCCACGCTCTCTTCCTCAAAGCCCCCAGCTGGGCAGCGCGCGGTCTCGCTGCGTCCTGGGGTCTGCGCCGCGGCGCGCGGCTTCTTGAATGAGCGCGCTCCCTTCCCCGGTTGAATGAAGGTTCCCACAGCCAGGGACGGTGGCAAACACGCCTGCGGCGGAATTCGCCCTCTTCCGGCGACCATCCGTCAGGCCTCGGTAACCCGGGCAGGGGCCGAGGAACGACTGTGGAAAGGTAGATATAAGTTACTTTGGGATTTTTTCCCCAACCAATGAGACCCCCTTCCCGACTGGACCACTGGCTCTTTGTCTCCAACCAAATTGGTCACCAAGAAATAAGCTCAGAACACTAAATGAGCCCAAAACGTGCCGTTGCTGCTCGATGGTGTATTTTTAAAAGACAGGGCGGTTTTTCTTTTTAATGCAATATAAAAGTCTTTTAAACTTGCTTTTTCTCTTTAAAAATATAAAAATCAAAGTGCTTCTTTTGCGCCTCTTGAACCAAAGGACCTTAAGGACCTGCGACTTCTGGCCCCCTCGGGGATTCCTGGGCTTGCAGAGCAGGCTTCCCCGGGATGGGGGCTGGGCGGGAACGCTCCCCGCCGGGCCCCAAATTCCAGCGACTCCCCCGCGGGTTCCTGGACAGCTCTTCACGCCAGCCGGCCGGGCTTGCACTTTTGCGCCCGCCCCTGGGCCGGGAAATCAACGAAGTTCCTCATCGAGATCTGCCGGGTCCGCCTAGTAACAGCGCCGCGCCCCTATTGGCTCATGCTAATTCCAGTTTCCCAGTGTCTTTCCCGCGGTGGGGGACGCTCCTTGCGGGACCTGGAGCCCTTGTCGCCGGAAAGGGCGAACCCCTTTATGCCCCGCAGCCCCTCACCGGCGCATCTCGGCCTGTGTCCGGTATACTCAGGGCTCGGACCCCTCGCCCCCAGGACAGGCGGCTTCTGTGATAGCGCGGGGCCTCATAAATCATCCGGGCAACCGCCCGGTCGAGATTTTATGAATGAAAAAGTAGCCGGGCTGCCCTCGTGCGAGAGCTGATGCTCTGGGGCTCCCGGATGCCCACGGCTAGCGTAAGCGTGGGCGCCGGGGGAGGGGGCCTGCACTGGGTGCGACAGGCCTGGCCCACTGCCTTCCATGCATGGGGGGGGCGGTCATTGCTCTCCAAGGACCCAGAATTTTAGTAACCCCATTCATTCCCTGCAGGGAGGGGACCGAGAGTTAGGGACTTAAAACAGGGGGGGTGGGGGGAGGGGTCGCATCTTGTTACACGCATCCTAGGAAAAGAGGGGGCTTTTGCATCCATTTTTATTGAGACTTTGTTGGGGGGGGGTGTGAGTTAACACAAAAATACATCCAGAGAGTGGTAAATGAACCGTTTTCTTAATTCGGGGCAGGTATTGTAAAAAATTTAAAAAAATAAAGAAATAAGAATGGGTAAAAATATATTTTAATCAAAAAGTACCGAAGATGCAAAATCTCAATAAAAATAGTGTGTTTTATTTACGTGTCTCTTAAGTGCAAGTACTGGGGACCCTCTCATGTAATCACGAACGTCTATAGATTTTTTTTAAGAATATCGTATCACTACACCCATTTGTTTAACTTCAAATTCCTTAAACTTTGCCAGTACCTTCTATCCTTAAGCTCTTGAATGAAGCCCCGAGATAAATTCAAAAGGTGGAGGGTTCCACGCCCCCAATAAAACCAATTGGGAAGCCTCCGGGGGTCTCATCCCAAGCAGAGGAAACTAATTTCTTGCGATTTAATTTTTTAATTAAAAAAAAAAAAGAATCAATACAGAGACCACTGTTTCTCAGCCTTCCACCCAAAGTTGTGTTTCTCCAAATTGCCGGCACGTGGAGGGGGCTATTAGGGGATCCCCCAAGAATGGGCTGGTCAAGATAGGAAGACAGCCCGCAGATCCCCCGGGCTAGGACAGAATGAAGGAAGTGGTAGCCACCATCTTGGGCTGCGGCTGGAATTTTCGGGCATTTATTCTATTTTATTTTATTTTTTGAGCGAGTGCATGCTAGCTGAAATCTCTTAAGGGCTTAAAGATAGTCCCTAGGACGTTTGCAAAGACCCCCGAGCACCAAGGTGAATCCTGCGCCCAAAATTGTGCGCCCTGCCCCGTGTCCGTGCATATTAAATAGTTCCTGCAATTTGCACGTGTTAATGAAAATGAAAGAAGATGCACATGCTGAGATTCCTTGCCCTCTCTCCGTCCGTGGGTGCCCTCGTGGCATTCTCGGAAATGTGCCCATTCTCCCGGCTCGGATATAGGATGTAGCTGTGACCCAGCTCCTATGTATGCGGTCTCCCCGGCTGTGTGTGGTCTGCCGCCCTCGTAGGTCTCCTCTCCAGAACCACCTCCACCCCACCCCCAAATCCTGGGGGACCCACCCGAGAAAGCCGGGGCCCCCGGCACTCCTCTTCTTTCTCGGGGAGAAAGGCAGCCTTGAGGCGATTTACATTTCTATGAAAACCGAATTTAGGGGACAGCTCCACCGCGGGGCTAGCGCAGCGCCTCGGGGATGGCTTTTGGGCTCTGCCCCTCGCGGCTCCCAGCGCGCTGCGCCCGCGCCCCCTCCCCCCGCGCCCGCCCCGTCCCTCCCCCCGCTCCCATTCTCTGCCCGGCTTTGATCTCCGCTTAACAACAGTAACGTCACACGGGCTACAGGGGAGTTTTGTTGAAGTTGCAAAGTCCGGGAGCCTCCAGAGGGCTGTCGGCGCAGTAGCAGCAAGCAGCAGAGTCCGCGCGCTCCGGCGAGAGCCAGAAGAGCGCAAGGGAACGCGGACAGAGCCCGGACGCATAGCCCTTTCCAGGCGGCCCAGGCAGAGCCCCAGCTATGGAACACCAGCTCCTGTGCTGCGAGGTGGAGACCATCCGCCGCGCGTACCCTGACACCAACCTCCTCAACGACCGGGTGCTGCGGGCCATGCTGAAGGCGGAGGAGACCTGCGCGCCCTCCGTGTCCTACTTCAAGTGTGTGCAGAAGGAAATCCTGCCGTCCATGCGGAAGATCGTGGCCACCTGGATGTTAGAGGTGCGCGGCTTCGGGCGGCTCTCTGACTTTCTGCAACTTGTTGCCCAAACCCACATTTCTTTGCCCTCATTTCTCTCCCTTTTCGTCTCGCTCCAACTTTGAAGTTTGCTGAGGTGTTGCTAGGAATCCGTATTTTCAAAATAAATAGATATTCTGGGTACTTTTTTGGACGAAGAAGGTGTGGGGGTTGGGGCGTTAGAAGTTCACTTTCCTGGTGGGGGGCGGTCAGGAAGGGTTGCCTTCGAGGAAAGCTAGTGCCAGGAACACCCCAATGGGTACAAGGGTGCAGGCTGGCAGGCTGGGCGCCCTTTGTGGCCCCCGCCTGCGCCGCTGCGCCTCCTCTCCTGCTGCTGTGGCCCGGAGCCGCCAGCTCTGGGGGGAGGGGGCATAGATTTGATTTTTAAATTAATATCCGTGGACACGTATGCAAGGCCCGTTCGTGCCAGTATTATGCGCCATCTTTGCTTTTATTGCAAAGCAAAAGTGTTTATTAATAATTGGGGGCAGGGTGGGGGCGGGGAGCGGCCGCCGGGGCGCTGGGACAGACGCGAGGGGCCGCGCGGCCGCCGGGAGCCACCCCGAGGGGCGCAGGGACGCAGCACGTGCTGTTTTGGGGGACCCCCGCTTGGGTAGGGGGGCCTTTTGTTCAAGCTGCGGGTCCCGGGGCGCCCCACACGGGCAGCTTGGGCCATAGAGCACGCCGGGCTGCAAGGTCGCGTGGCCCCCAAGACGCCAGGGATTGACCCCAGTCTGCGGGTCTCAGCTCAGGGTCCTTTCCTGGAGCGAGCCAGGGGCCTGGACCACATTTCTAGGCCTTTGGTGGGCGCTTGGGGGGCTCGAAAGTATTTTTAAATAATTTCTGAAAGTGCGGCGTGGTGCCCTTGCGAGAGGGAAACGGCGCCCGCGCCAAGGGGAAGGGGGCCCCAGAGTTTGAATTCCTGGGGCTCTCCCCGCAGCCCGCAACCAGCTGTTGACCCCCGGAATGGATCAAGGGCCGCCCAAGGGTCGTTTTCAGGGGGGTTTTAGACACCCAGTTATTTTTTTAATATTTTTAAATATTTTTTGAAAAGATGACGTCTGGGGAAATGCGGTGCGGCGGCCTGGGACGCCACCTTTGTGTCTCGAAGGGCGGCGAGCGCGGCGCCCAACCCCCGGCGGCCCAACTGTGCAGTGGGTGTCCCCCCACCCCAGCCAGTGGCTCCCAGGTCCCGCGCAAGCAGGGGTCCTCACGCCCCGCGTGCCCACCCCTGTCTGCTGTGCCCGCCTCACACAGACTTTCCCTTTCAGTTTCGGGGTGTGTGGGCTCTGAGGACTCGCGTGCAGGGTGCGCATCCCGAGTAGCGACTGTGTCCCACCCCCCACCCCCCACCCCCGCTCCAATCCCCGGCGCCCTTGAGGACTGGCTACCCTATGCCTGGAGGGGCCCCAGCGGCGGCGGTCACAGCCCGGTTGCCCGCAGGTTTGCGAGGAGCAGAAGTGCGAGGAGGAGGTCTTTCCACTGGCCATGAACTACCTGGACCGCTTTCTGTCGTTGGAGCCCCTGAAGAAGAGCCGCCTGCAGCTGCTGGGGGCCACCTGCATGTTCGTGGCCTCCAAGATGAAGGAAACCATCCCCCTGACGGCCGAGAAGTTATGCATCTACACTGACAACTCTATCCGGCCCGAAGAGCTGCTGGTAACTTCGGACCGCCGCGGGGCGGACACCCCGTTAGCTGTGGGACCCCAGCTGGGGGGAGGTGTAGATGGCAGGAGGACGGTCAGCCATGGACAGATCTGCCCCAGAGTGGTCCGCTCAAACTACTCGGCCCCTGAGGCAGCAGCAGGACCCCACGCGACCCCCATTTCCCCTTCCCCCTGCACCTTGTCCTCAGATTCGACTCCCACCACGTTTGTGCTCCAGTGGGGTCAAATATGGGTGACGCGCGCCCTCTTGCGGTGTGCAGGCCGCAGCGCTGGTTACCGAGGCCCTCAGTCCTAGCGGTGGGAGGTCTTTTTGTCTCCCAGTGGGCCGGCTTAGTAACGAGAATGGAGCCTCTTTACATGCACCTTTTCTGTTTTGATCTGGGATCATGTGTTACTCCCACTCTCTGGGCCTCACCCCAACATGCTCCACCTCTCCCACCTCAAGACTACAACCCAAGTGTGAAGGCCAGTGAGCTGGGCTGCAGAACCCTCAGGGGCCAGCCTGCCCCTCTCCTGATGCCTGTTCCCCATTTTCCACAGCAAATGGAGCTGCTTCTGGTAAACAAACTCAAATGGAATCTGGCTGCCATGACCCCCCACGATTTCATCGAACACTTCCTCTCCAAAATGCCGGAGGCTGAGGAGAACAAACAGATCATCCGAAAACATGCACAGACTTTTGTTGCCCTGTGTGCCACAGGTAGGGGGCCTGCTACCCAGTTCTGTCCGGGAAGATGGTCCCAAGGCCTCCTCTTGCCCACAGAAGTAACCCTGTCCTTACCACAGACACCCCACAGTGCCTTAGGGGTGGGCGACAGTCTCCCTGTGTCCTGATGCCAGTACCTCTGCTCCCCACACCTGACCTATGGCCACTCCACACTGAGGGTTTACCTTGGCTACTGCCCCCACCCACCTCTAGCCCTTCCCCTGTCTGTCCTCAAGGAGCCTGGGTTGCGGGGTGGGGGTGGGGGGGCTCCTGGCCTCTCCCAAGCTGGGCCACCTGCCAGGGGCGCCTTCAGGGGTGGGGAGAACAGCCAGCAGTGGCTGTACCACGTGTTCCCCGGCCAGCAGCAGCCCCATGCGGGGGCGGCCAGTGAAGGAGCTCCTCTGCCTGAGGCCCGGCCAGGGGCGCCACAGACTGGCTGTGCTTAGCTGCGTCACAGCCTCAGCCTGGCCCACCCAGTTGGCAGCACAGGGGCTCCCAGAGACTGCTTAGACCCTAAGTCAGCAGCCTATCTCAGGGACCAGTGTTGACAAGACACTTGTACATGCACCCACACACACAAATAAGTCACATCCTGCTGCTCCCCCTGTGCAGCCTCTGTCTCTGGAACGTTGTGCTTCTCCACCTGACAGGGAGCTAAGGCAAGAGGCCTTATGAAGTACTCTGGTGGGGAGTACTTCGAGCCCTCCCACCCCACTCAGATGACCTTTCAGCATCTGCAAGTGATCTCACTCTGTATGGCCTGAGGGCCACAAGACAACCTGGCATCAAAGGGGCTAGGTATCTTCTCTCACCCTACAGTCCTGGCACCTCTGTTGTATCCCTTGCTATGTATGTGGCAGCCCCCCGCAGCTGCCCTTTGCCAGACAAGTGCTGCTGGAGTGAGGACGGTGCTCCCCTTGTACCTGCTGTATCTCCTCCCCCAGGGCCTTCCTCAAGTCAGGAAGGGGTTGGTTGCCCGGATGGAGCTGAGAGTGGGGGCAGCACTGAGGCTGCAGGCGGCAGGGAGGAGTTCTCTGGCTGGGGCTCCTTCAGAGAGAGGCTCCACACAGCCTTTTATGGAGCTGAAAGCGGTTTGAGAGGAACAGCAGAGTTTCTTGGAGATAATTCGAGGAACCATGGTTGCACAGCCTCCCTTGGGGACGACTCCGGTGGCCAGAGCTCCCTTCTTGGCCCCCTGGGTGGGTGCTAGGAGGGAGCAGCAGAGCCAGCTGCAAGCTGCTGCAGAGTCTAAGGTGGGGCTTGTGGGCACCCTGATCGGCAGGGGAAGTCAGATAGCCCGGTGGCCAGCGTTTCCTGAGATCCTGGTGGCCATGCTGTCACTTCCAGGGTAGACCAGCGGGGTATGGCAGCACACCTAAGCGTCCCTGCAAGGTCACAGCTCCCAGCCCTAATGCCCGTTTGCCCCACTGACTTGACTGAGGTGTGGCCTGTGTCAGGCTTGGGACAGAAGCAAGGCAAGGGGTGTAGCACCACACCAGAAGTGAGCTGAGGCCGTGGTCGAGGAAGTCGTGTCACACTCCATGCAGCAAGGGCTACGTTCAAGAAACTGGAAGGGTGCTGCTCCTTAAGCCCCCCACTCAGACCCATAGATCCAGGTTCCTTAGTAACAGGCAACGTGTGAGTAGGGCTGGTATATGTGTGTGTGTTAGTCAGTACTGAACTTCAGGACCTTCCCACCAAGCTACATCCCCAACCTTTTTTTTTATTTTCTGTCTAAGCTGGGGTTGAACTTACTTTCCCCTTCCTGAATGCTGGGGTCCCAAGTGTGTACCACTACACATGATTAAAGCTGGGCTTTATAACATGAGTACCCCAGAGCCTTCCTCTTTGCCAGTCTGCTTGGTGTGAGCACACAGTTGAGCTCAATAAGGGTTCTCAGCAAAGGTCAGCTGTGCCACTGTGCCCCAACAATCACTTGTGCTGGCACCAGCCGGGCAGTAAGTGAAAAGTAAAGTTGGAGTTGGTTCGTTCTGAACTGCTGGAATCTAACCCTAAGGCCACCCCAGCCTGGCTGTACCACACAGGACTGGGGGAGTTTCAGAGACGAGGCAGCAGGTGGATCTGTCGTGCTTGTGCCCACCAGCGGTGCAAGGGTTTGTCACTTACAGAAGTGATTTCTGTGTGCAACTCCCACTTGCCTCAATGAAAAGGTCTCCATTCATGGCTCCTGCTCTCAGACTGGGTGGAATTGCTCCCATTTAAAGGGGAACAGAGGTGGCTTGCCTCAGCCTGGAGTTTCTTTTTTTTAAGTCGCTGCAGCGGCGCCCAGAAGCCGGCTTTTGTCTCCCTTCAGGGTGGCTGCTTTTCTTCCCAGCCCCTGGCCAGCCCCCCGCTCTTTAATGAGACCAAAGTTGTTTATTCTCTTGAGATGAAGCCTCAGAGGGCTTGCGGCACCCCCAGCAGCTCGCAAGGGCCCCTCTGCCTTTGTGGTCGTTCAGCTCACCAAGCCCCCTTGTTCCCAGGCACTGCATGCTGCAGGATGAGGCGATGAGGACTGACAAGGTGCCACGCTCGCCCTTCCCACATCTGCCTCTGGCCCAGGGCCCGTGGTCCATAGGTTGAGTTGGCAGCTATCCCTGCCCCAAAGTCCCCATCGGGCATGACAGGAAGGCAGGCAGTGGGCTTGGCTGGAGTGGTAGCCAGATGGAGAGGACAGGCAGATTGGTGACTCCCAACAAAAGTGGGCCCCGTCAGAGAAACTGGCCTGCGGCCTGGGAAGGGGGCTGCTGGTGACTGTGGGGTGACACCTAGTGCCATGTGTTGGGGGACAGTGTGCCTTGACATCCACTGGCAGTGCAGGCTGCAGCCAAGGGCTGCTCTGGCTTGGCACTGCCCTCAGTCTGTTTTGGAGGATCCCCGGAATACCAGGGAACTCCCTTAGTATGGGGCCCTGCCTGGGCTAGGGCTTTGGGTGTCCCGCCCTGGAGGAAGTGGCACTAGGTAATGTGAACTGCTGTTTGGGGAACTGAACACAGCCCCCGTACTGGCTGCACTGCCTCCCCTGGTCTGGCGGTCTGGTGCAGTGATAATGCTGGGAACCATATCGCTCTTAATTTGTCAGTTGGTGACTTGGAAAAGTTCATCTGGCCAGCAGAAAGGACAAAGAAAAGGTTTTTGTCCCAGACCAGAGAAATGACAGAGCACAGGGCCCAGCATGGAGTGGGGCTTGGCTGAAGGTCTTCCTGAAAAGTTGGGCATCAAGGAGAACGGGGCGGATGGCTGCAGAGGTTCTTGCTTTGTGAGGTCACCATCACCATCATGGCCCCCGAGGGACTTGGGGAGTGACTGTCCTCTCCCTGCAGCCCTATGAATTCCCTTGGAGATGTGACTGATCACCCCCATTTCCTCTTGCCAGGCATTGGCAGGTGCCTTGGATTAGTGTCACAGAGGCAGCACACGTGATTCCTGTGTCTGTGTCCTTCCTTTATTTTTGTGACAAAGTGACATTCGTGAGACTCAAGCTGCCGGAAGGGCAAGCGGGGTGATAGTCAGCCAGTCTGTTCAGTGTGGCCACCCTTGCTGTGCACCTTGCTCATTTTGGTGAGCTGGATTTCACTGGTGACAGTTCCCCAGGTAGCCCTGAGTCCTAAGGCCACCACAGTATCCCCACTCAGGTCCCCTTTCTGTCTCTCTGCTGCAGACGTGAAGTTCATTTCCAACCCACCCTCCATGGTGGCAGCTGGAAGCGTCGTAGCCGCGGTACAAGGCCTGCACCTGGGCAGCCCCAACAACTTCCTGACCTGCTACCGCCTGACACATTTCCTCTCCAGAGTGATCAAGTGTGACCCGGTAAGTGGTGGCTGCAGGGGACATCTGGCACCTAGGTCCCCCTGGATGATAGGCTAGGCTCTAAGGGCTGGGGGGCAGGGCAGAGTCCGCATCCACCACAGGAAGGTGCCTGCGGGATTCTCATCTCTGTGGGGCACCCATGAGCAGGCAAGAGCCATAACCCTTCCAGCAGAAAGGGACCCCAGGCCAGCCACCAGTGAGGACCCCGTGCCTGGCTGTGGCTTGAGAGGCTTCACTGACCATAGTACTCACAGCTAGTAAATAGCTTTAAAATGTTCCTGTGAGATCTGAGCCTTTTGGTCACCAGAGGAAACAAACTTGTTTTTTTACGGTGCTAGGGGGTAGGGTTCTGTGAGACACCCACAGAGTTGACCCTGACTCCATTCTTAAAAGTGCCACTGTTTTATCCCCAGTTTTCCTTGCAAAGAGAACTTAAATGACAATTAAAAGGCTTTGTGGCTGTCATCTGCTGTGCATGAGGGAGGGAGGGAGGAATTGCCTTGACACACCTGCCCTGCCAGGGCAGGTGGCCCACCCCAGAGGTTCTGGAAGTTCCACCCTGATACCCATATTCACCTGCCTGTCCCCTGACCAGTGAGTCCTTTGTTGGTGACGCCCCTCTCACAAGGGGGTGCCCTCCTCTACCCTGGCTCACTTCAACCTGAGTGGGGGAAGGGTATCCTCTCCTAGCTGTCAGTGGGCAGCCACCTTATGGACAAGGACTTGGGGGAGACACTCAAGGCCTCAACATCCAGCACTTCCGTAGCCAGGAAATGGCCTGAAAGAAAAGCCCCTTCAGCAGAGTGATGCTCTGGGCCGGCGCTTGGCTCAGGAGCACGCGTCTGCTGGCCCCACTGAAAAAAAAAAGACGCTCTGTATGGAGCTCCTTCACATTTCCTGCCCCTGTTTGACCTGGTCAGCTGTGTTGGTGGATTTCTGGTGTCAGTGCCACATGGTGGCTGTCTATAGGCAGCTGCAGGCAATAGCAGTGTTGTCCCTCTCTTCAACGGAGACTGTTCTAATTAGATGTTAGAAAATTGCCTCCTGGCTGACATGGAGAAAGGAACTGAGGCTGGAATGGCTGACTTTCTGGTGACGAAGGTACCTGGGCTTAGACTCAGAGACCCTTGACCGTAATGCTGAGGTGAGCTGGGCCTCAGTTGCCACGTTCACTCTTCTGTTGTCTCCAAGCCATATGAGTCCCCAAAATTACCTTTGCCCAAGTTCATGGCCAGACATCAGCCTGTCTTCCTAGATGGGATTTCCTCAGGGAGGAGGATGAGGCCACAAAGGACTCTGGTACAGATGAAGTGCAGGAATGGGCTCTCCAAGGCTACCATCATCCTGAGCAGTTCTAGAAATTTCTGAGATGCATCTCAGTCATGCTGTGCCACGCGGAAGGAATTGTGTGTCGTTTCTCACCAAAAAGCATGGTCAGTTCTTCTGGTGTCTTCTGGCCATGAGTGAAGGGCACCACCATCGACTGAGGAGGCCTTCAGGCCAGAGTAGGGACAAAGTAGAGAGGGACTGAAAGCCTGAATTCAGCTCCAGCTCTGACTTCAGCTGTGGGACTTGAGTGGTTCACAGGTCGGAGTGTGGTCAGTGTGAAGTTTCTGAGACTAGTGGGCAGATGGCCAGGAAGCTAGACTGTGAGCTGGATGTGGAACTGCTCAGGTAGCCCTGGAGACCCCACTCCTACACCTAGGCTTCATTTCAGCACACCATCCCCCAAGAACTGACAGCTACATGAGGGGGTTGCGGGTGGGAGCTATCTGGCCTCGGGGGCATCTGAGAATGTCTGGGGTTTTGTATTCATACCAGGCCTCTTGGCTCTTGGTTTCCTCATCTGCAGAATAGGGTTAAGTCTGTTTTGGGGGTGCTGACTAGAGACTATGTTATAGTCAGAGGGGCCCTCCTTCCTATGATGTCCCAGCATGAGCACCTGAGAGCGGCTGTGATGCCGACCCTAGTGGGAGGCAGTCCTGGTTCCCCCTTGGCACTGCAGTACTCACCCCCCCAGGGAAGTCCAGCCTAGTGTGGATGGAGGTGTGGGGCTGCAACACCTTCTGTGCAGGGGGCAATGCTCACAGACAAAGGGGTAGGGGCACAGGATGCTGCCTGAGCAGGAATGCACTGAGGGACAGAGGTCCGAGCCCCTGGCATCCATCCCTAATCGATCACAGAATGTGGGTTCACCGTTAGGGCTGCCGCTGGCCAGAGGTTACATCCAAAAAAGCAGGGCCCTGGGGGCCTCCCACCACCTGGATTAGAGGGGTAGATTCCAGGAGGATGGAGCTCAGGGCCCATGAAGGAAGTCCAAGAGGCCAAGTCCTGCTGGGGAATTTGGGTAGGCAGTAAGCATCTGGGATCTGTACCCAGGGCGGGACAGCCACAGTCTTTTGGCATAAGAGACAGAAGTATTTGGTCCTAAGTGGGGTCACCAGGCCAGTGTGAAGCTGGGGGCCAAAGGTAACACATGATTGATTCTCACTCCCAGGACTTTGGTGGCGCTCCTCACGTGTGCTCTTCTCAAGACCTTTCGGGTCCAGCACTGGGACAGAGCCCTGGCTTTGTACCTCCTTCTAAAGAACACTCCCCTTCCCCTCTTGCAGGACTGCCTTCGTGCCTGCCAGGAGCAGATCGAGGCTCTGCTAGAGTCCAGCCTGCGCCAGGCCCAGCAGAATTTGGACCCCAAGGCCACAGAGGAGGAAGAGGAAGAGGAAGAGGAGACAGACCTGGCCTGCACGCCCACTGACGTGCGGGACGTGGACATCTGAGGTGTCACTGCCACCAGGGCACGGAGCAGTGAGTGGTCGGCAGCCCCCGGCTGGGGGGAAGAGCCAGTCCCAGCTGCTCCTCTGATCAGGTCCCTCTTCTCAGGGACATTTTGATACCAGAAGGGAAAGTTTCTCCTTGTTGGTTTTTGTTCCTTTGCGCATCCTCCCTGCCATCTCTGACTTAAGCAAATGAGAAAAAAAAATTACCCGAAAATCTTTAAAAAAAAAAAAAAAAAAAAAGCAAAAGCGAGGATAGATTTTGCATAACCTGAGTGAGGGGAGGTGAGTTGTGCTACAAAATAGAGGCTTTTATACCCCCGTAATCAACTAGTTTTTATATTAATGTGCTTGTGTCTCTGGTAAGAATAGACATTAACACATGAGAAGTCTCCAGGGAGGACTAGATTTGATTCTTCGTGGTTTTCTTTTTTGGGTTGTTGTTGTTGTTTTTTTTTTTTTTTAAAGGCATAAAAACATTTTAAAAAGAAAAAAAAATCCCAACAAACCATTTTTAAAGTAGAAGAGGGTTTTAGCTAGAAACATGTATTCTTGTGCTGTCCCAGGACATGCACCCCGATGTGGTCCTGGGTGCTCCTTGTGCCCTGCTTGTTCAGCCATGTAGCCACTTGATAAGTCACATGTATGTTCATGTATCTCGTAGCTAGGTAGATATGTAACCTCTTCACCTTATGGATGGTTGATGCAGTCTCTCGGTCAGCGTAGCACAGACTGGCAGCCCCGTGTACTCAGCTCCTGCCCGAGGACCATCCTCCGGGGCCAGGCCTGCCAGGCACCAGCCTGTTTCAAGGTAGTGGGAAAGGCCATCTGTTCCCTCCTGTGACACGCGACCACAGAGAAAAAACAAAATAGCGACATAATATATTCTATTTTTATAATCTTCCTATTTTTGTAGTTACCTGTTTATGAGATGCTGGGGTTTTTTTGTTTGTTTGTTTGTTTTTTGTTTTGTTTTTCACCCCATGGCCCTGCAGCCTGCTCACAGCCAGGTTAAATTCACAGCGACTTTCTCTTCTTTAAAAAAATTATTGTTGTTGTTTGGATTTTCCTTCTCGGTTGGTATTCTGAAACCATTCCATTTCAGAGCACTTTGGGTCCAGTAGTTAGAGGCAATATTGCTGTTGATGTTGAGTGTAGGGAGGGGGGCGAATTTTTAATGGAATGGTTTAGGAATATTTACATACTTGTACGCAAACAGGATAGCTGAGCAAGCGCATGTCACTGCGAGGTGAGCGCGAGGGGGATGTTTTTTTGAAGGTTTTGTTCCAGTCGAGAAGAAACAGATCCGCATCCTCAACATTGCCAGGATGACAAAGAAGTTCCTGTCCTGTAGAGAAATGGAAGTTCATAGGAATCCTTTGGTGCCAGCTAGCATTTGAAATTAGGAACCTCAAAGGTTTTCCTAGAGAGCAAGTAGTTTAAGGGTTACTTTAGGTGTTTCATGATGGAAGGTTTTTAAACACTAAAATATTATAATTTATAGTTAAGGCTAAAAAGAGTATTTATTGCAGAGGGTGCTCATGAGGCCAGTATGATTTATAAAGTAATGCAATCTCCCCTTGATTTAAATACACAAACCTTTCTGCCTTTGGTGTCGCAGGCTTAACACAGTTTACGGAAGATTGGTCCCTTTGAGGGCAAGGGGAAAATCTCAAGATAAACCACACGAGACACGGATTTGGCCTGTTTGGCATTTCCCAAAGTGGTCTGATCTGCGATTCATCCAGGAAAGTTAGGGTACTTGAATGAGTTCGATTCCAACGCACTCTTATCCCCTGCCCCCTCCTTTAAAAAAAAAAAGTTAGTGACAGGTAGACAATTTGCACGTCTTGGCTCTGTAGCTTTTTATTTAGGAAGTGTTGAAGGGAGGTGGCGAGAGCGTGAGGCTGAGGCTGAAGAGAGAACGGGAGGGAGGAAGTGTGGACGGGAAGAGGGGACGGGGCAGTGACCGCGAGAGGGACAGGCTGCGGCTCCGTTTCTTAATGCGCTGCTACCGATGACTTCCCGGCACGGTTCGGAAACAAACTCACATCGCTTCTCTGTATCTCTTTCACATTGTTTTGCTGCTATTGGAGGATCAGATTTTTGTTTTGTTTTACAATGTCATATACTGCCATGTTCCAGTTTTAATTTCCTCGTAGAAAAATGTATTACAGATTCCCTTGTTTTGTAGTTTTTTTTTTAATGTGATCAATTTTGACTTAATGTGATTACTGCTCTATTCCAAAAAGGTCCCTATTCACAATACCTCATGCTTCACTTAGCCATGTGCAGACCCAACGGTTGGGCTCTGTCTGCCTCGGTGGACAGACACACAGACAGGATGCCAAAACCGGGCCTGGTGGGGACCAGCGATGGCCTGGCCCATGCCACCCACGAGGGCCTCTGGAGACCAGGCTGTGTCCGAGACCTTTCCCCAGCGCCTGTCCTGTGGTGCTGTCCGCCTGATCTGGGATGTACCATTGTAGTAGTTTCGACAACTGTATCATTCTGTACGTGTAGTTATGAACATTGCATTATTATTATTATTATTATTATTATAACCAGTCTGTCTTACGTGCCACCATGGTGCTGGGCCCGTAGGACTCTTGTCATTCGGGATGACTGAAATTGCTTCTGGAATTTGTTCAAGTTTTGGGTGTGTTAATCTGTTGTTATTGTACTAGTGTTCTGTCTGTTGTTGTTTTGTTAATTACGGCATAATGCTAATTTAAAAGAGACTCCAAATCTCAATGGAGCCAGCTCACAATGCTGTGTGCCCAAGTCCCCTAGCAAGCTGCCGAACCAAAAGGATTTGTGCCCCCCCCCCCCGGGGTGCGGTGGGTCTGTGCTCGGAGGCCATTGGCAGGTGCAGGGCCGTCCCTCCGCCCCTCGGGATCACCGCTTCTGCTTACCTCAACCATTCTGGCTGCGGCGTCTCTGTGTCTGAACCGAGCGGGGTCCGTGAGGGACGGTGTGTCCATGGTGGTGGGTGAGGGCAGACGTCTCATTCTGTGTGCCAGAAGGCCAAAGGCTGGTGGCAGGTCCACGGAGCACAGCAGAGTCTGTCCTACGATGCAAAAGTCTGCAAGGGTCTCTGGTCAGCGGGCAGTGTGGGTCCGTGCTTTGGTTGACACACCGCAGCGCTTCCCAGCACGGACATGTAACCGGCACGTTTCCAGCAGAAAACAAAAGACAAACGTGAAAAGTCTAGAAATAAAATTGGTTAAAAAAAAAAAAAACCCAATGTGGTCCTTGCCTGTGTGTTTTTGGGGGCTGGCAAGAGGCCATGGGAGAGGCCTGAACCAAGCAAGGGGGCCAGCCTGGGTTTACCAGGTACACAAGGCTGCCCTGTGGGTCTGGGTCATCCTGACAGCCAGTAGATGACAACAGCCCTGCCCTGGGGTGATGACCAAGACAGTCTCCTGACGCTGCCAAATGATCCCAGGCGGAGGAGGGTTCGTGGAGAATTGGCAGGTGGCACCTCTGATGCGTAAACAGCCTCTGGCGTCAGGGGACAGGAGTGGTGCCCCTTGATCAAAAGCATCTCCCAGCCCTCGTGTGGTCTATTTGCCCTCCCGGTTATTTGTAGATAGAAAAATAAATAAACGCCAGCATTTGTTCCCCTCTTCTGGCGCACACTGCTGTTTGCTCTGGGTGAATCACAGGCCTTCAGCACAGCCAAGATTGCAGAGCAAAGCACAGCGCTGGGGCTGTGGTCCAGGGCGGCCTTCCATACAGGTCCCCGGGTGCAGTGCATGAGAGCCCTTCCTGGACTCTGTCACCCGTCTGCTAGGCTTCAGATTCCAGGCTTCCTAACCCTGGGCAAAGAGTGAGACAGGACCTGCTGTGGCTCTGGGGTTCTGAGGTCATCTGCAGCACAGGCTAGTTGTGCTTACCAGGGCTCAAGCCAAGAATAATTTTGCCACTTATGAGCCACCAAGGCCGCTGCAGCACCTACATGTGATGGGGCTATCTTGAGGGCTCGTGCTTGGCCACGTTGGTCCTCTGTGGGCACTTGCACTCTGGAAGGGAAAGAAGGACCCCAGGAGCTCCCCAAGGTGGCCTGGTGCTGGGTAGTCAGGAAGCTGGCAGGGTGCCACAGAGGTAGCTGCTCTCCTACCAAGAGCACCTGGGCCCACAGCTTAAAGCGATAGCCAGTGGCGACTGGTGACTCCCAAGGGCCTGGCCTGCTCCTCAGTGATCACCCTAAAGACTGGATCCAAGCGTACCCACCATAATGGCCCAACTCCATGCAAGAGCCAGGTCCATGTCAGGGGTGGGGGCCCTGAGAAGCACTGTCCCCAACCTCAGCCCACAAGATGACTGTGGGGGTAGGGGTGGAGCCTCTGTGTTTCAGGCCAGGCAGAGTAGCAATAGGATGGCAGAGTGGCAGTGGAATGGTGACAGGAGCAGCAGGATCCCTACTGTGAGGGGGAGGAGTGCACGGGTAGAGCTCATGTGGCAAGAGGCTTGCTCACTGTTTCGAGCTTGAAGGTGTTCGTAGGCTGATTGATGTGATGCTGTTGGAAGGAGCAATATACCAACCAGGAGACTAGGGACAGGGGGACAGGGCAGGGAAGCTTGGGGTGCAGGCACAGAAGCCTGCAGGGATGGGTGGCATGAGTTCACCTCTAGATCCACAGTGGAGCTCACAGTGCAGCCATCTTGGTGGCTGCTGGGCCCTGTCAATGATCAGCCCCCAGTATTCTCCTTGGCTTGGCAGCAAGACTGGGACGTTACCCCTCAAACTCGGCAGACACCTCGGGAGCCCTGGCCCCTCCTGGTTGTCATGAGAGCTGGTCCCTTTGGGGTTCTTCCTGCTGACAGGATGACAGTAAAATTGTTGAGTTTCAGGGACCAAACCTTTGAGCAGTCCACACCTGCTGCCCCTTCCTAGAAGCTTCTTGCTCTAGGAGCTCTCGTGGCGCCCGTGCCCTCGTAGCATATGTGCCCTCCTGGCCCCCATCCCACCTGCTCAGGGGCCCCCTCTTGACCAATTGGACTCCAGCCCTCTGTCCACACCCCCTGAGCCTGCTCCTTCAGCTTGTCCTCATCTCTGGCCCGTCCCTTTGGTCTCAATTTCCTGAACCTGGGTTCTGCCTGTGGCTGTGACACAGCAGGCTACTTCAGGCTCTGTTCTGTCACCTGGTCTCCCCAGCCTTCCTGCTTATGCCTCAGAGCTTGAAGGAAGACTGGTCCCCATGCCTCCATATGCCTGTCTTCCTGCTTTGACTAGGAGTCCCTTGAGGGAAGACAGAAGTCTTGGGGACCTCTCAGACCTCTTCTGCACCCTGCAGTTGAGTGGAAGGCAGCACCATCCCAGGCCAGCCCTGTACCCTGTACCTTTAGTCTCCGGCACTGTCAGCTGACTCCACAGTGGAAGGTTGGGGCTCCCCAAGGGGCCCAGGGACCACCACCAGCTGTCAAAATGAAGACTTGGGAGGAGAGGCCAAGTAGGCTGGGTGGATATGTGCACTAATTTTTGGAGGAAGAAT